CATAGAACGCGATCGGTTCAGCCGCTATATGAGATCCGATAACCTCGATCGGCCGCAACGCTTCGGTTCACGTAAAGGAGGCATGGCAGTGTCGCTACGCGCAGCTTAGCGCCGAGACACTACCAGTGTCTCCAGATTTTTCCCCCTCGTCTGATGTCAATTTTAGTACAGATATATTTTCATCGCTAAAATGTTTCATCTTTACGCGATGTGCTAAATCGTATAATTCCTTAACAAACCATGATACACAATCCTCACCACGATGAGATCTGTACATCGATAAGGTTTCATCATACGCACATCGTATGTAATATGCTACGCTGAAAACCTTATGATGTTAATAGGTAAATCTCGAAATATTTATATCGCTGGTTTTTCTCTTCTCCAGTATACATTCCAAATCAGCATAAATTACGAAAGGAAGTCGCTCCTTCATATTATGATTGTTAAATGACAACCATTTATTATCCTCCTTCGGAAGAATAATCGCACAATCATTCGTCGAAGCACAGTCAACGATGTGAAGGGACAATTTCTCATTCGAGTAAAAATAATGCAGACATCTATAAATAATATAAATAATATAATTACATACAACTTTTTTATCGCTACATAGAAAATAAGTCATTTATATTTACCTATCGCACAAATACTTTTTATGTTTAGTCTTGTTTATTTGAGAACCTATCAATCGAGATAGATTTTTAATCCATGCGAAGTGACCAACAGTATTATTGTCACCTCGCACATCTTGCAAAGACAGATTAACGTGTTTGTCTTTTTTATCCTTAGTGAGACGAAGAGGGACGATCGTACCATTGTTGTCTTTTTTTTCACTTATCTCTCGCTCGGTAAATATATTGACAGATATACCATTCAAAAGTTCAAATTTTGAAATTTGTTTCAAAGTAACGGGAAACTCAATACCCGTGAGATTTAACACACTCTTATAATGTGGATAAGATGATAGACGATTCTTATTGTTTTCTGAAGGGTACAGAGCTGCAACTATTGACCATGCGAAACACGCATTATCCATTGATTGTATATTAATTACAGCTTTCTTCAATTTTATATATCGTGGGATCTCCATACAACATCCCACACGTATAGGATTATATTTATTTACGTTTACAATTAGATTCAAAATACGTGATAATGCCCATCCACTGTCTCGTTGCTGAAATTCTTCCAGAGATGTTAAAGTACTATCTGTGTACGGTTATGTCGTAGTCAACTCGGTGGGCCAACAACGGCACGCCTGGGGCCATCTCTCTTTATCGACTCGAATCTAGTTATAAGTAATTCGCGAAATAGTAATTAGAGGCAGGGCAGCCGCTACGCCGATTGCGACACCCTGCGGATTTTGTAGTGTAAAAATCATCGGACATGTTTCATTGTTGTTTTGAACAGTGAGTTGGCTTTTCCAGCAGCGCGTGGCACTTGATCGCAAGTTACGAGAACTCGTAGGACAGAATTGCTCCGGGAAAAACCCTCAATCTGAGGTACTCTCAATTCTCGCACATCATCCAATCGCGTACACCGTGTAATCGGGTAATAGGCATTCGGCAAGTTATAGTTTGATCGGTAGTTTTGTACAGGGAATTAACTTTTGTCAAAATATAGCAATTTGAATATTAACTCGTGCACGTGTGAGAATTTTCTTCACCTGTCTGATCCTGGATCCTGAAAAGTATCGTGAGTGTATCTAATATTGTTGCGGATATGCCACATACGAGAACATTGGCGATCCTGCCAGGATCAATTGCAGTGGCAATCTCTAGTGCAAAAGGTGCAATTTGTTCGACAAACATTGCCGTTTCGGCCATATACGAGCACGCCTCCGAGCTTCGGGCATCTTCGGCCTCAGCCGCCTCGAGCTACGGGTATCTTCGGCTTCGTTGGACTTGGTTCGCCTCAACAGCCGGTCGCCGCGCTGAGCACCAACGCATCCATGCAGAGAAGTCGACACGCTTCAGGGCCCCTCTTCGCTTCTCGCCATGCCTGCGACGCATTGCCCCACGCTGACGCTTTCGTCGTTTACAAGCTCAACGACGCTCGCTATAGTCATTAACGAAAGCGCCCAAACGAGATATATTACATACGTCGATATTCCTCGCTCTATCAGCGCGTCTGTTATTTCGGCTGCTTCGACCGCGACCGCTGTCCTTCAGCAATCGCCAGCTTGAAGTGCTCAGGCATATCGAACATCATTTCCGGTCAACCTCAGCTTATGCACGTTAAATACGAAATAAACATGTCAAAGGAAGAGGACATTGAGCAGCTTATTGACCAAGAAGAGCAGTTCAAAACTATTAATCGATCAGCTGATAAGCTTCAACATGCCGCTCAGATCACTCCTTCAATAGCTCTTTCTCGAATGGAGTATCTACAAACAATCTGGGGACAGTGCACTCAGCGGCATCTTCGTTTGATGCAATTCAGCAAGGATGAAGAATTTGCGACTCAGCTGTACTTCACGGAAAACCGATATGCTGCAATGGAGGATATTTGTATCGACACCGTTGCAGCGTACAAGGACATCCTTCAACAAACATCACCTCCACCAGTTCAAGCCGCCGGGATTGCGGAGCCACGAAAAGTGGCCAAGATACCTCTCTTAAAACTACCAAGATTTTCCGGTTCGTATCGCGATTGGCAAGAGTTCCAAGACTATTTTACGTCAATATTTATTAACGATCGCGCGTTCGATAATTTACAGCGCCTCCATTATTTAAAACCCTGTCTCGACGGGGAGGCAACCGCTTTGTTAAAAAATATTCAGACGACCGCAAACAATTTTGATACCGCGTGGAAACTCTTATCCGACCGTTACTCCAATACGCGCCGAGTCTTCAATTTTCATATGTCTAGTTTATTCGCGCTTAAGCCAATTACGCGCGAAAGTTCACACGTAGAGTTGCGTAAATTATTAAATGCCGCTCGCGAGTCGATAGACGCATTGAATGTATTGCAACACCCCGTGTCAGATGATACGCTCGTGTTTCGTCTCAGACAGTGCCTAGATCGAGAAACGCGCGAGGCATGAGAATTGCATCTCGGAGATGCAACTGATTTCCCGACATATAATCAGTTCGAAAAATTCATTAATAATCGGATTTTAGCCCTGGAAGCGTCAGGAAGTGCGCCGAGTAAAACCGTGCCGACTACGCATTCTCGATCTAATGCACCATTCGCGGAACCATCGTCGCGGACCATCGTCGCGGACCATCGTCGCGGAAAGTGCAAAGCCATCATGGCAATGCGACTGCGAAACCATGCAGTTTATGTGATGACTCGCATGCATTATATCAGTGTAAGGTCTTTATTTCCAAATCGGTTCCGGCACGATGGGACATAGTGAATAACGTATCGGCTTGTACAAATTGTCTGTCAATAGTGCATCGTACTTCGAAATGTGCCAGTCGCCGCACATGCGCAATCTGCCATCGCCGTCATCACACGTTATTACATCGTTCTGGGGAATCGCAATCGCAGACGTCGTGTAATCGATCAGTTGTTGACCCATCAACAACTGACGACGTGCGCCACTCACCTAGCACGTCCGATGCACCGAACCTTGTATCGGTTCCGCGACCCGATGCAAGTCTGGTACAATCTCATCATAATATTAGTATGACTTTTGCAAACGTTGTCCTCGCGACCGCATGGATTCATGTAAGCGCTCCGTCACACCGCACTATTAAAGTCCGCGCTCTTTTAGATGGTGGATCGACGCACACTTTTATAACCCGCGAACTGGCAAATGCACTGCAATCTCGGACGTATCCGACTGTCGCGTTAATCGGAGGCATCGGGCAAATGACAACGAAATCGGCCGATCGTGTGATGCCGATAACGGTCAGTCCGACGCAGATTGCTACGCAGATTTTTTCGACGGATGCATTAATTTTACCATCGTTAACGGTTTATGTACCGCACTTTTACTGCAAGCTGTCGCACTGGCCGCATCTTAATGGACTTAAACTCGCTGACGGATGCCCCACCGATAATACGCCCATTCATGCGATTCTCGGTTCGGATCTTTATCCATACGTACTTCGCGACGGGCTGCGGACTGGTACGACCGGTCAGCCGGTGGCACAGAATACCGTTTTCGGCTGGGTCTTGTCGGGGGCCACTCGAACCAAAACTGATGCATCATGTGATGCATCCGCGGTGCATGTGCATCATGCACAGCTGCACGACTCATTGAAGCGGTCACTCGTTCGCTTTTGGGAAATAGAGGAGGTCATGCATCGTCCCCCCATTTCAGAGGAAGACGCCCAATGCGAACAACACTTTGTATCTACGCACACGCACGCAAAGGATGGAAGGTACATAGTTCGTTTGCCATTTAAATGCAACCCAACACGCGGTCTAGGCGACACTCGCTCTCGCGCACAATGCTGTCTCCTAGCGTTAGAGCGACGTTTGGCTAAAGTTCCCACCGCGTATGAGACATACCACGAATTTCTCGATGATTATGAACGACTTGGTCATATGCAAGTCGCATCCATCGACCCTACCGCAGAGTCTTGCTATTTGCCACATCATGCGGTCCTCAAAGTCGATAGTGCAACCACGAAAACCAGGGTGGTGTTCAACGCGTCGTCACCTTCGACGACTGGAACATCCCTTAATGACTTGTTGATAATCGGACCCAAACTGCAAACCGACTTGCAATTATTACATTTACAGTGGCGTGCATATCGCTTTGTATATTCAGCAGATGTGGAGAAAATGTACCGCCAAATTCAGGTCGATCCAAGGGACGTAAATTACCAGAGAATTCTTTGGCGGTCTTCTCCGTCCACCGCAATTCAGGAGTACCAACTACTCACCGTCACATACGGTACCGCAAGCGCCCCGTTTTTAGCGTTACGCGTCCTTCGTCAACTGGCGGAGGATGAAGGTCACGACCTTCCACTAGGAAGACATGCGCTTTTTACGTCCATGTTTGTGGACGACGCACTTTTTGGCGCAGATTCTAAAGATACCGTTAGAGAAATTCGAGATCAATTGGTTGCCCTTCTTGCCAGAGGTCAGTTTGTCCTTCGGAAGTGGGAAAGTAATGCATCCAGCTTACTAGACGATATCGACCCGCAGAATCATGATTTAGCACGCGAAAAGGTCATTCAAGAAGATGACCAGGTCAAAATCCTTGGAATATCGTGGCATCCGATATCCGATAGTTACCGATTTTTTGTGGCTAACGAAAGGTCCCCGCGAATGACGAAGCGATTGATCTTATCAACGATCTCACGATTATTCGATCCTCTCGGGTGGCTATCGCCCGTGATTATTAAAGCAAAAATTCTAATCCAGTCGTTATGGAGTCTCGATCTGGACTGGGATTCGCCACTTCCGACTGTGGTAGCCTCTGCATGCCAAGTGTTCATAGACGAATTACCGTCGGTCGGTAATGTCACTATTCCACGTTGGATCGGATTATTTTCGAACGTCCGATTTTCACTTCATGACTTCTGCGACGCCTCAACCAAGGCTTATGCAACTGTGATTTACATCCGCATCGAATTACAAGACTCCATAATGAGCATGCTGCTCACAAGTAAAACTCGAGTAGCCCCCCTCAAGCAAGTATCTTTACCACGGTTGGAGCTATGCGGAGCCGTTTTACTGGCCCGTCTCATGTCACACGTCGTTTCAATACCTGTGTATGCCTCAGGCGAACGATACTGTTGGACCGACGCATCGCTCGTCCTCACCTGGGTTCGCGCGCAGTCTTCTAGATGGAAAACGTTTGTCGCCAACCGTGTAGCCGAAATACACACGCTTCTACCCGATGTCAATTGGCGACATGTCCGCGGAGTTGATAACCCGGCGGATCTCGCCTCCCGTGGAGTCTCGGCCTTAACAATTGAACATAATGATTTATGGTGGCATGGCCCCCCATGGCTTATCGCTCCAGAAACTGAATGGCCATCCTGGGACCCCACGCCTATCGACGAATCAATGTTGGAATGTCGTAATGTTCCCGTTACAGCTGCCCTCGCTACTCAGCATTCTAATGTCATATTGGATCAATTTTCCTCATGGCCACGTATGATACGGGTATGCGCCATTATATTACGCTGGTCCAAAAAATGGAATGTCCAGAGTAACCCGCGCGTAACGATTACGTCTGACGCTGAAGAGCTGAGGCGGGTTTCACATCGCATTTTTTATCTCCTACAGCAAACCCAATTCGCAACGGAAATTGCTATTCTGAAGCAGCAGAAACCCAGCGCCATCTTACCACGGACGTCTGCACTACGGCGTCTAAACCCAAAACTCGGAACCGATGGGCTTCTACGTATCGGAAGTCGCGTGATACCTAGCAACGTTCAAGATACTACTGGGTGCCCTATCATTTTAAGGTCTTGCCCCGTCATACGTCTCTTGGTACTCGATGCCCATCAACGATGCTTGCATGGTGGCATATCATTAACCCTAGCGACCCTCCGATGCATGATCTGGCTCGTCCAGGCGAGGAAAATCGTTAAATCTGTCGTGTATAATTGCCTCACCTGCGCTCGTATACGTGCCGAGCTGCCGACACAGCTCATGGGTTCTTTGCCACCGGCCCGAATAACTCGCCCAACTCGTCCGTTCGCCATCTGTGGCGTGGATTATGCTGGTCCAGTCGCGGTTCGCATGGCGGGCGGTCGCGGTATTCGGTCTCAGCGTTCGTACATTGCATTATTTATTTGTATGGCGACTAAGGCCATCCATTTAAAAGTGGTAACCGCATTCATAAGGTTTTCCTGACGCAGAGGTTTACCAAGCCAAGTTTATAGCGACAATGGCACAAACTTTCAGGGAGCTGATAGGGAGGTGAGCACTGCATTCCGGCTCGCGACCCATAGTCATGAGCTGCGGCGACGCCTTGCGGAGGATAGAGTTGAGTGGCATTTCATTCCACCCGCTGCCCCCCACTTCGGTGGTCTTTGGGAGACTGGTGTGAAATCCGTTAAACACCACCTTACGCGAGTTCTGGGTGATCGAACACCAACTTACGAGGAACTCAACGCTCTTCTCTGCAGGATTGAGGCGTGTTTAAATTCAAGACCACTACCTCCGCTTCTTGATGATCCAGAAAGCCTGGAAACATTAACCCCTGATCACTTCCTTATCGGCGGTCCTGTATCTGCGCTTCCGCTACCACCGGTTATAGATGTAGCCTCTAATCGGTTGTCACGCTGGCAACTAGTTCAACAAATGCTTGAACAATTTTGGGCTCAGTGGTCTCGCGATTACATTCTGTCATGTCAGCATCGTTCGCGGTGGCTCACGCCACAAACCAATGTAAAGGTGGGACAAATCGTTCTCTTGAGACAACTCAATCTCCCACCAACCAAGTGGGAACTTGCACGAATCACGCATTGCCATCCGAGCCGCGATCAATTAGTTAGAGTCGTCACCGTCAAAACCAAGACGGGAGATTATAAGCGGCCAATAACAAAACTCGCGTTATTACCCGTCGATTTGGAGTCTCAGAACGATTCATCCCAATCCTCCCGCGAAGCTTAGTATAAGTGCATGTAGATTGAGTAATATTTCAGGAACAACTAGATTGCACTCTGTCTAGCGCAAGGCGGGCGGTTATGTACGGTTATGTCGTAGTCAACTCGATGGGCCAACAACGGCACGCCTGGGGCCATCTCTCTTTATCGACTCGAATCTAGTTATAAGTAATTCGCGAAATAGTAATTAGAGGCAGGGCAGCCGCTACGCCGATTGCGACACCCTGCGGATTTTGTAGTGTAAAAATCATCGGATATGTTTCATTTTTTTGTTTTGAACAGTGAGTTGGCTTTTTCCAGCAGCGTGGCACTTGATCGCAAGTTACGAGAACTCGTACGACAGAATTGCTCCGAGAAAACCCTCAATCTGAGGTACTCTCAATTCTCGCACATCATCCAATCGCGTACACCGTGTAATCGAGTAATAGGCATTCGGCAAGTTATAGTTTGATCGGTAGTTTTGTACAGAGAATTAACTTTTGTCAAAATATAGCAATTTGAATATTAACTCGTGCACGTGTGAGAATTTTCTTCACCTGTCTGATCCTGGATCCTGAAAAGTATCATGAGTGTATCTAATATTGTTGCGGGTATTCCACATACGAGAACACTATTACAGTTTTTATCCACACAATCTCACGCGAACAGTTGTTTCCATTAATCGCTCTACGTAGATGATGTGTAGCTAAATTCCATTGATTATTCTCCTTTGTACACGAAATACTTGATATGGGACGGTATCATACGCTCGTAACAATACAAATCGTTTTTATTATTTGAACTATCGTGACGATGGAAATCACTATTGCTATTTGTACTTGAACATTCTCTAATTGTCAGATTGTTATCACTATTTATCATATCATTTATAACATATTACATGTTCTAACAAAAAAGAATATACTGTGAGCAGAAACTCCGTCATGTACTACCTTTATATATGATCTCTCCTAGAGAATCTCTCTCTCCACTTATTGTGAAACCTGATTATATCGTATGTTTCAACAACCATAATCAAGAGAAACCGGATGCGTCGTAACTTATTTTATTTATAGGATGAAATATGCAATAAAATTTCTTATTTTAAATCACATGTTCTCTTAGGTCATTTTCTTAGGTCATTTTCTTATCTTATTTACAGGATGTGATATTTCCCATTTAAAAGTTTTTTCTTTTTTAAAGAGAAGATGATGATGTAAAAATATATAGGTTTCCTCGATTATGATATAAATTGCGTCTTCTTTCACGCATAATGCACGTGATACATCATTTAGCTTTATTCATTAACAATGTTAAACAAAGATACAAAACTATAGACTTTCCAACTGTCAAATAATATATAAATGTGAACAGAACCAAACTTTTTCTCATATATAGCAGTACTTTGCAATTGAACTTGAAAGTGCATTACTCATTGTTTTTCAATATGGAGCATTATAATAAAAATATCGAAGAAACGAAACTTCTACATCAATCTACATCAAAGCCTACAGTGGAAAAATCTATCAACGAACAGGAGATGTACATCGACGAGGACTATCCGTTGTTGGAAGAAAACACAATGAGTTCTTTATTTGATCTAATATATCAAATATGGAATCCACATACTTTACTAATCAAAAATTTAAAGACAATGATTGGTTGTATACAGACCTACATGTCGAATCAACGAAAAATAGATCCAACTACGACACGTATGAGGGAGGCTAAAACAATGAAGAATACATTAATTATTTTTCTCGAATTATTGAAAAAAAAAA